ACTGAAATCAATGGTTTACAAGTTACCTGATCTTTCTTGGAGGTAGGTTGGAGCTTCTCATCTGGTAATTTTCCCTTTTTAGCTTCCACTTTAACCTCTTTTTCTTCCCCCTTTGTTTTTGGGGTTTTAATAATTTTTTTTTAATACAAAAACATTGCACCTGTTTGCACTTTTGTTTCTCCACACTGTGTTCATATACAAATCCTGTGTACAGCCACATCTCCATCATATGCTGCTGTGCCCACATCTCCGTGTGTAGCTGTGCTCCCTCCACCCTCTCCAGATGCTCCCATTTCCCCATCTGGGCCTTTCTCCCTTGCGTGCCATCATGCTCACATGTCCCAGCAAAGAGCCCTGTCCTGTGACTGCATTTAACACACACGTTCCTCACACAGTTTACCAGGTGCTCATAACATTTTGTGCCAAGAAGTGTCTGCCTTCACCTCACATGTTACTGCATTAGGCCATTTTATAGCAGCTGAGAAAAAAGCAGCAAAAAAACCATGCAGAGGTCTGAACATGCAAGATTTTCTTTGAATAATGGAGTGAGGTCAGGCATGTCGTGCACTGCATTATTTGTAAGAAGTAAGGAGCTTTATTTTTAAAAAACGAGAGCAAGAGAGAGAGCATGAGTATTAGTCATTTCAGTGCAGGAGTAGATCTGTGAGGAAATTCCAATTCAATCTTTTTTTTTTTCTTGCATTACATTTCTCACAAACCACAGGTGTCTTATTTTGGTGCAAAATGTTTACTGTACCTGTTTTCTTAGGAAAGCTGCTTGAGGTTTTTCCTCTTGTACTGTCTTCTCTTTTACCTGTTTATCTTCTATTTTCTTTTCTTCCATCTTTTGTTTTTCCTTTAATTTCTCTGCTTCTATCTTAGCCTTTTCTTCAGCTGCCCTCTTTTCCTCTTCTGCCTTAGCCCTTGCTCTTTCCTCAGCTGCCCTCTTTTCCTCTTCTGCCTTAGCCTTCTCTCTTTCCTCAGCTGCCCTCTTCTCCTCTTCAGCTTTAGCCCTCTCTCTTTCCTCAGCTGCCCTCTTTTCCTCTTCAGCTTTAGCCCTCTCTCTTTCCTCAGCTGCCCTCTTCTCCTCCTCTGCTTTCTGTTTTTCCTCAGCTGCCTTCTTTTCTTCCTCTGCTTTTAACCTCTCCCTTTCTTCTGCCTCAAGTTTCTCCCTTTCTTCTGCTTTCTTCCTTTCTTCCTCAGCCTTTTCCTCATCCCTAAGCTCCCCTTCTGGCACAGCATTTGTATCATTCTCTGCTTTGTGTTCCTCTGCATTTATTGCTAGATTTTTTGTTTCTACTACCTCTTCTTTATCTGCAGATTTTTCTGTCACATCTACCTGATTTTCCTCTACAGGGACCTCCTTTGGTTTCTCCTCCTGTACGTCCTCTTTGTCTTTTTCTTCTTTTTTTTCCTCCTCTTCTCCATCTTGCCTCCAGTTGTTCCTTTGGTATGATTTGGTAACCGTTTCAGTTTCCTCAATCTCATAGTGTCCTCGGCGTGTTTCAGCTTTTTCCTCTTTCCCCATGGTCTCATTTTCTTCCACATTGTTTACTTCTCTCCTGCTGGGCAGTGACAAGTTCCCATCTGTGATCGTGGGGTCAAATTCTTTTTGACGTTCCAGGGCTTCCTGCAGACGTTTTTGGCGTCTCTCCTCCCGTCTTGCCAGTCTCTCCAACAACGCAGCTTCGTCATCTGTTCCCCCTGTGGTTGTAGTACGCTTGGTTTCCTCTTCTGCCACACTACATAAAAGTGACAATTTTGCATTAAAAAAAAAAAAAAATCTTTCTAACAACCTATGTGCTTAACTGTTTCTAGAAAAAATGCTTGCTGTAACACCATTGCATGGTTTGAAAACATAACAGGTTGCATACTTCAAAATTAAGCAAAATGGTTCTGGGGATTAATTTTGGCATTTCTACATGTATAGGATTGTGGTGTTTCACAATGTCAGAGCCTGGAAAGGTTCCCTTCTAGGTGAGTTCCAACAGCCGCTGAAGTCCCCAGGAGTCTTACTGGCCTCAGTAGGCACTGGAACGGTCCCTGAGGCTTAGAGCAGCTGAAATATGAATAGCCTTGAAAAATTCATCCTCTCCCTCTGCACCCAGCAGCAGAATACTTGGAAAAACCTTAGCTTGCTTTAAGGCTCCCTTCAGTTTGGCCTGAGGCGTACGTATCTTATACACAGTCCTCCCACCAGGCAAAATTTCTGAAGATGCTACACAAGCAAGATACTTTCTGACTTCAGTGAACTCCTCCACCAACAAGAAGCTACTCCTGTTCAGCAACAGCATCCATGGATACAGTCCATAATGGAATAGCCTGGCAATTAAGGGTGCAGTGAGGTTGTGATTGTCTGTACAGAGACAATAATCTGTTATAAAACGGAGTGAGCAGAGCACCTAATTTAAGACATGCTGTTCAACCTGTAGGTATCAGGACTGGATGTTGCTCTCAGTCACTGGAGGTTTTTTGACTCCTTCAAAATTCAGCTGTTTAATTCTCCTGTGTGTAGGTTTCTTCCCTCTTTCTAGCTTCCGCCCACCCCCCTTATGGAAAAAAGATTATAATCTATAATCAGAAATGTTGCTGTTTTCCTATCTATATGCATTCTTCTTGTCGTTACTAGAATGTTAGTTGTGCTCAGTATCTATTAGCTTGATACCACAATGTTTATTTCTGATCTCTTCTATCTATTGTGTTATGTCTACCGGAAATCTGGATCTATTATTTGTGACTATGTGAAACTGAATAAATGATGGAAAACTGGAAGGCCAGGTCTGCCCACTCAGCTCGTGACAAGTGGCACCTCACTCCATATGCTTTTGATAGTTGTATGACCCTGACAGTGCCAGATGAGGGCCAAGGTCTAGCGCTCACACCCAGTGACTTGCAGGCATGTTTCAGCTGCACCTTGAGGCCTGGCTGCCCACCAATCCCATGTGCCTTGGCCCTTCTGGACGCCATGTCCAGAAGGAGGAAAAAAGATCTGGAGGTTTGTGAGTCCAGAAGCACTCATGCCTGAGGGAATCTGACAGCAGGATACATCAGAGGTATTTCTTTCCATGAGCCCCAGCTGAGTTACTCCATAGACAGCCCTGAGGACACCCTGGGAATGGGTTATGAGCATGGTCTCAAGCTCAGCTTCAGTGATGCTCCCACCATCTACACTGGCTGTGTAGACACAGCCAGTAACGCTTCTCACAGTGTTAGGTTCTCTTCAGAGCAAAGATGGTCAAACCTGGTGCTTAAATTTTAAGTAGCAAAACAGACCTCTTCAAGATACTTCCGGACTCTGAACAAAAATTACTGTTCACTTGTCAGTAAACAGCATCAGACATTTACCTGTTTTGGGCATTAACTTCTGTTTTCTCCGTTACTTCTCCTGATAGATCTTCTTCCTTTTGCCGCAGCCTCTCCTGTCGAGCACGTCGGCGACGTTCTCTGGCAGCTTCTTCCTCATCATCATCGTTTCTCTGGTAGGACAGCCTGCAACAGAGCATTAGGGATATGGAAAAAAGGGGCTGTAGCATATAGGACACTGTAACTAAAAAATTTCAAAAAGCAGTTGATCAGAGCACGGTAAGCATGTCTGCAGTGGCTGCTCCATATGCTGTTTAGAAAATAAGCTGTCGAGATGCATAGTTTCAAAGCTTGGGTTTGTTTTCTGTTTCAGAAACGAACTTGACAAAATAGTCATAGTGAAGGCAGCAGCCACACCACACTGTCAGTTTGCTCCTAGAAAATACCAAAACCCTAAAAGCCCAGCTCCAAGGCTGAGCAAACATCCTGCTAGACTGTACTATGATCCTGCCAGAATGCACACAACAGCATTTAAGCAGACTATCGCCCAAGCCCACACAACTGAAACTGGACTTAGCCAAGCAGTTTTTCATTAATGTCCTCTAAATATAACATGCTTAAAATGGTGACAGTATTCTAAAACTGAAAGACTAGAAAGCAGGGAAACACAAGTATGACAACAGCTCTCAGTGCTCAGATCTGAGTGCCAAACATCTGACACCTACAAAATTTTTGTGAGCCCAGAGTCCTGCCAGGCCAAATCATACAAGATTGCTGCTGTGATGAAAGCCTACGGCTGAGAACACATTGTGTTCATCTAACCCAACAGATGATTACATTTAGTTTCATCCTACTTGAAAAGAAAAGCAAGACATTACAATCCTAATAATCCTGCGGTCCATTCAAATCTTTGCTGAGGTGCATTATTACTGTGTGAGATAAAGAGAAAGGCTTGCATTCCTCTTATCTTTTTGTGCAGGGAAAGTGAAATAGGAAGCTAGCATGTGCCAGATCCAGTCAGGACATTCATTTACTTTGCTTCCAACAATGGTTTGATACATAATGGTTAAGAAGTCACCCTTCCTTATGTAGTCACCCAATTAAGTAAGTTGTACAGCAGTGCACATAGAGAAAAAAGCTCTGCACCAAGTAAAAAGAAGCACAGTTAAACTTGTGTTTCAAAGAATATTTTAACATTAAAAGCAACTAAAACATTTTGATTTAGTCATGAATTGAACTCTTGGGGTCCCAGCCTCGCCCATTGCCTTGTTCTAGACCTGCTTTTCTCCTTTTCTGAGAGAAGGGTGAAAGTATAAGTTCAGCAGAGATTTAATTATCCCAATCTTCATTTAAAAATTAAAAATCAAAGTTAAAAAACGAATATGGCTGAGCCACTTGCCAGACCTCGAATAGCATTTTCATCCCATGCAGCTCTTGGCCTATTGCATGAAAGATTTCATTTGCTGCTTTCATGTTCTACTTCAAGAGCTCCTTTTCTTTGTAGAAACAGCTCCTCTCAAAGAGGATGAAAACCACGAGCAGCAGAGCCATGCAGGATCACAGTAGGGGAGAGAGGAAGAAAGCAAGGAGATGAATTAAAAGCACTAGAGGTGATGTAGGGAAGGCAAGGAAAAACACTTCCTGTCACTTGTAAGCAATTTAAAGGGGAATCAACATTTCATTTAGGTCTAGATCAGAAAGCATATGAATACAATAATAAACTAATGGGGTCTTTAATTTGCAGAAGAAAGAGACTCTCTCTGCATTAGCAAACTGACCACAGAAAGCCCACTTGTTAGTAAGATGTTCTGGCTGCAAGAAGCCTATGATCTTTTTAGCTCTGAACTCCAAATGTAAGGGCACAGGAGAGCATGCTGCTCTTAGCCTGTGGCCGCTGGATAATGGCCATGACTGAGTCAATTCCCAGTGCCTATGGCTCAAGATTTGTCTTTGCAGTGAGACCACAAGAGGATGAAATAGTTTATCCTACTCTCTGTACCCACACAGAACACTCCTACACAGCAAGCAGAACAACCACTTTTAAAAGCCTCTTTAAAATGCCTTTTTAAAACCACTAGTTGCTCGGAAAACTAAAAAAAAGGAAAGAAAAAATACCCTAAGCAAAAAACTCCCACCAAATGGTACCCATTAAATAAGTCAAATGAAAACAGATACATATTTCCTGTCCTTGGACACTTCTCACATAGATCATCTGTTAAGAAAGCTGACAATCTCTCTCAATATCCTTTTAAGTATATCTACTGCCTCACTGCATGTCACAGCGGTTTCCTACAGCAAGCAAGTACGCCAGATATGGGCTCCACCCATAAGGATCACCTTAAGCATTCCATTCTGTTCACCACCACGGATGCATGAAACATCCCCAGTAATCTGGAAATAGTCATATGAACAACTAATAGAATTTATAGATCTGTATCTTATTTTCTTTACAGTGATGTTAACGCTACTCCCAGATTGTACTTCTACAGGCTGTTTTGCTTGTCTCGGAAATACAAGGTTGGCTGGACTGGACCCAAGTAGCCACCACCGACTAGAGTAGGCTGAAAATGCAGGTTCAGGTTGGCTATGTTAATTAACGGACTAATGACAACTCTGTCAGCAAACTGACAGCAGGATCATTTATGAAATGATTCAACATAGTCACCCTAACTGCCATTGACTCTCCATAAGAAATTCAGTCATAGGAAAGATGGTGCAAGTGAGACAAATACTATTTCTCCCATGAAAAATACACTCTTCTGACAACAGTGTTCATTTCACCATTCTCTCAATCCTCACACACTGAGTTCATTCACCCTAGCCCAGCTGGCACATCACTCTCTCTTAGTTATCTAAGTAGCCTTCTCCTCCATTGCCTAGGGTGTCAAACAAATTTCATAGAGTAAACCACAGACAGACACATGAATTCAGGCACCCTCCACTGAGAGTGGGAAGACTGACCCTCACTCTCCCATCATTACAACTGTCCCTAGTTACCCATCACAAGCAAAACCAATCTGGGAACTCTTCATAGCTTATCTTGCACTTGCCTACATTTTGACATTCTTTAGAGCAAAAGTAAACAAATAATAAAAAGTATGACTCCAAGATACCAGGTCTGTATATCAGACAAATGGAAATCTGATGATCCACACTGGCCTGTGTTGTTTCTCCACTCCTGGAGAACAGCCTTGCTGCCCACCATGCATACACACCCCACAACTAAATTAAACTAACCTTATATCCATTTTTCACTTTCTGCATAACTGTTCAAAGTGTTTGCAGACAAGTCTCTATCTCAGGCAATGGGAGCATGGCACAGCGTGATCTCATGCCAAGCCTTCTGATACACGACACCTCTTATTAAATATTCAGATGAAAAGATGATGACTTGGACACCATCCTACACCTTGTTACCAAAGATAACATGCTCTTGGTCTAAATGTCAACTGAAAGGAAAGGGAAAGGGAAAAAAGCAGAGTGCTGCTTGTGTCTCCTGTTACCTTCTCTATGTTTCTGACATAAGAAAAAGCAGTGTAACCTCTGCACGCTATTGGTAAGTCGTTCTAGTAAAGCATTAGTCTGCCATACTTCCTACACAGCACAACTCAAGTACAGGAGACTGAGCATCTCATCTACATTTTGCACCATGCTAGGTAGGGATAACAAGTAACAACAGACATTTTGCCCTGTTGAGCAGGTAAGACAGATTTATATCTCCAGGACTGAAATCTCAAACCTGCTGAAGTCAACAACAAATCTCCTGATTATTTGAATAAGTCTAAAATGTTACCCTCAAACTGAATGGGGGGACTTTACAGCCTAGAGCAGAAAATAACTCTGCTGGATTAGGAATATAGGCCACCTGCCTCAGAACTTCTTCAGAAAGATTCAGCATCCTCTCTATTTTTGTTGAGCACTGAATTTACATAAAGTTATAACCCAGTAAGAAGCTTGGTAATAGCTGGGATGATTATGGGGCTGAAACCATTTCATACAATCCAGCTTCAACTGGTTTCCACTTGAAACTGCAAATCAGTTCAAACAGTATCTGGGGCACTTTGGTTTCAGAGTTTCTTGCCCGGTACTACTACGTTATTATTATTTTCTGAATTATGACAACACTGAAATTTCCTGATCAAGCTCAGGCGCTTGCTACAGTAGGCATTTTATAAAGATAAGAGAAGATCTGGTCCCTTTTCTAGACAGTGTGTATTCTGATTATAGAGAAACCTAATAATTTGTAGCACTACCTGCCCTCAGTGATTCATAAGCTAAACCTAATGAATCTAAATTATTTTTCATTTTTCACAGGAGTGGGGAAAAAAAATAAAAATGCCTAATTTAAGCTGGTTCACACTACTCCATTCTAGAGGAGACAAGGAGAAAGAAGAGCTGTAGATCTGAGTTTAGACTCCACCTCAAGGGTGTCAAAAATATGTGAAAAATTTCCAAACGTAACAAAAGCCTTTAAGACTAGATTTTTAACTTAAACAGGCAGCCCAGATCCGCCTCTTCTTTCCCCCATGATTCACTCAAATACCAATGTCTTCCCTTTCTCCTGCCTGCAAAAACACCTTGCATTCACAGCACTGCTCTCTCAACATGTACCTCAATCAGATGCAACTACCTATTCAGCAAGCTCCTTCCCACACAACTTTGTTATCTAGAAGCCTTTACATAAATTACAGATTGATTTTCTCTGTGGTCCACCCCAAGAAATGAGATCATTCATCCTGTATCAAGCTGCTGTACCTCCACTTGCAATCTAACCTACTTCTAAGACCTTCACCCTTCATTACCTAACACCGCAGCAGTTGAAGTGACATCTGTTGACTTGTGTACCTCCATACTGATGGCAGACAGAGGACGTCAGTAAAATGTCCCTGATGACAAATTTCACTGCCAGACTCACTCTAAAGAAGCTGCATTTGCTGGCCTTCTGTGCTCTTTGAAAGCCTTTCTATTTACCCAGGCTCTTCCTGAAAGCATGGGTGGGGTGAGGATGGACTCTGTTATAATACCCACTGGGGAGTACTCTTTGTGTTACTGTTGATACTCAGTCCCGTTTCATTTATGATTGCATATGTTTTTAATTTTTTTTGTGTTATTAATTTGTGTTATGATAGGCACACTTCAAAACGTGGATATAAACAACTGATCAATTTTCAGCTCAAAAAAAAAGC